GTTTTTTCTGCAGTCGCCCATACTAAACTCCACACTGAACCGCAGATTTCTGTTTTTCTGCAGTCGCCCATACTAAACTCCACACTGAACCGCAAATTTCTGTTTTTCTGCAGTCGCCCATACTAAACTCCACACTGAACCGCAGATTTCTGTTTTTCTACAATCGCCCCATATCGACCATTCACCCGGTGCTATGCAACTCCTCCACACATTCCTTGCATCGATATGGGCTTTGCCTAAGCCTGAGGATAAAGATGTCCAGTCTTTTCTCGACCAGGTGGCAGGGGTTTTGAAAGCCCGCCAAGTAGTTCGGCATCAGGCACTACACGATGAGAGCTGTCCGATTAAACAGGTTGACCTAAATAACCTGGAAAAAACAATACGTTTCGTCTTTGACAAGAAGAACCCTGACAGAACTGCCGGAAAACGAAGCAGCTTGAAAAAACTCAAGTGCAGAGACCTCATCGCTCTAGGTTTGACTCTCAAGATCAGGGAGCTGAACATTTATGGCGAGGGGGTGATCGAGGATCTCGTCACAGCCGGCCCGCACATCGGGGGTAGGTTGAATGGACGTATCCTATCCAACCCTAAGATTTTCAAGCTCGTTACTGGCCTCGAGCTCGAGCTTAAAAGTCCAGCCTACGAAGAATTCCTTTTAGGTTAGTTGGCTCCGAGTTCAATCCTGCAGCCGTTAAACCCGCTGACAAAATAGGTTTCCGCCGTTTGTGGCTTGAACAAAATGAACATTCGGCGGGCGCAGAGCCACGAGGGACGAAAAGGAAGAAAATCACAGCAGCAAACAGCCCTAGCGAGGACACTGTAACAGTCCGCATTGCTAGTTCGCCAGAGCTCCAAGCATCATCCACCTGCCATCCCCCATCGTCGCCCGCCCTACCGTCAGATGCGGCATCATCTCTGGGCAGCCCTACTGTCCAATCAGTGTCCTATCAGACCGAATCGGCACCTTCACCCTCGAACATGCTGACGGCCACCCCAGTACCTCCCTGGGATCCAGTCACATCATCATGGCCTTCGTCCCGCGCCCTGGATACGGGAACTCAAGACCGCCTTCAAACCCCCCCGGCTGCGCACTTTGTCCTTACCTCCGAAATCCCGCTAGTGTCCACCGAAGCTGCCCAACAAACAACCAACCAAGCCACGACTACCCCTTTGGATGCACGTACCTCCTTACCCTCGCGACCACGGAATTCTGCAATTATTTGCTAACATTACGTCGGGTAGCTAGATCATCAGGCTAGGCAACGAATGGGGCATAAACTTTATGCAGCCTGGCGGAGAACTGGCTCCTGGCTTCTATCAACAGGAATTTTCCCCCCGACACTATTGATCATGCAGTTCCTCCGTTTTGTACCGAACCGCCATTATGGCAATTCCCCCATCTGTCACGTGGATACCGTCGTTTTCATAAAGCTGGAGGATGTCACCAGCCTGTAGATTTATGGGCTGCAATTCGCGTTCTGGTGTGATGGCTTTGGAGTCGGTGCTTGCTTTCGGCTTGCTAAGATAAATCGTGGGATTTTTTCGCAGGTTTTTGATGGCGATTGCTCCTTCGACCTGATCCCCATCAATTTCTTCGGTTTGGGTGCTGTTAAAATCTTGCTAGTCAGCAGATGCTGGCCCATATAAGCATCGTTGTAAAACGTTGGCGCCGGACCTTCGTGGCTCTTCGTGAATCAAGGTTTCCATTCCTCGTGGCACTGGCACTCTAGCAGCCTGGGGTTCCAGTGGCTTCGGAAGCACAATGATCACCAACATTTGACCCTTGCTCGGTACCAGGGCGTTTTCGACCCAAAGGCACTCCAGGCCGTGATCGAAGGTGATGCTTAGC